TGTTTTTCTCAGTTGCCCGTAGTGTGTGTCCCCTTCAGCAGAGTGCAGTCCATCCAGGCTGGCCTGTGTTTTTCTCAGTTGCCCGTAGTGTGTGTGTCCTTCAGCAGAGTGCAGTCCATCCAGGCTGGTCTATGTTTCTTGCCACAGCCTTCAGCCTCACCATGACCTTGTACTTCATAAGCGGTTGGATTTTTGAACATTTGGACATTTCATCTAGGCGGCTTTGATTTAACTTTCCAAAAATTATACCCAAAGTGTACCACCTACAACTACTTCTGATTAATCAATTAAGTTTTAATCGATGAAAGAAAATATACTAAAATTCTGAAGTTTATTTGGTCTGATTAAAAACAAATACATCTTTTCAAAGAATTGTGACTACAGTGTAAATCGGTGTTTTTACTTACCTGTCATGTTAAGGTCAGGTTGACTATAGAGAATTCTTTTAAGTTTTCACAATGGATGTTTCGGCTTTTAGAAACGTCAAGTGTTGTAACTTTGGTCTGCCACAATAGAAAGAAGTGCTTTTTTAAAAATGGTATTGTGTATTACGTACAAATATATTTCAATCCAGGTATTATATTTCAAAGTAAAGCAACAGTGTTTCTATGCATTAACTTTTATTATTGTTATTATTTTTTTGTAGCCCAGTAGCCCAAAGAAGCGACTCATTATAGAAGTGAAGTACTCAGTTGGCGAGTTAGTGTGGGCAAAGTTCAACCGGAGACCTTGGTGGCCCTGTCAGGTTACAAATGACCCGAAATACGGAACCCACTCCAGAATGAAAGGTGGGTTTCTTTCATCATCTAAACCAAAGAAACCAGTTTAATAAAACAAATATCCTTCGGCCATGTAAAAGTGACTAACTACTGTGTGTCTTGTGTCCGCAGCAGTTGTTTAGTGAGTTGTTTTGCCGCGTGCTATAGCAATGTTTGTGAACTATGTCATCTTTTAACCCAGGTGATGATAACATATTGTTAGAGCTCCGTTAAATTTGGGATTGTGTCGGGCATAATCTATTTTAAACAGGATATATAGACGTACATGTATTGTGTTAGGAGAATCCTGATTGTAAAGCAATCAATGAAACAGTATCCTAAGATAAAAATGCATGAAATATCTGATTTTTAAGGTTAAAGAATCTTTAAAGTCAAGTAAACACTTCTCTTGACCATTTATAATACTTCAAACGAGAACAAAAGCAACAATGACTTAGTAATCAGACTCCAGAGCCGGCAATCGTATAAGCAGGCGTGGAGAACGAAAAGTAAAACCATCGGTAAGGTACCTGGTCTTGGGTGTCTGGGATGAGGGGCTCCTGCTCGGGGACAGCTGACACGAGCCAGAAAGTCCATCGTGAATTCTGAAAGGTCTGCGTAGTCATCAATATTCTATAAAGCAGGGTTGAATTCTCATTCCTACAAGACAAGTAATGTCAGCTGTCACAAATCGATTGCTCATCACTGTTTGACTCTGTGAAAATATGACTAGCCATTTTGGAAGTAATTTATGTAGGACATAGCACTGCTTTTACATTTAATGCAAATCTGCTAATTGCTATATCCTTAAATAATTATAAAACTTGCTTATTAGTATGTAACATGGAGATTGTTTGGAAAACAAACCTTTATGTAAACATATTCCAGTGTAGTTTTCAACAAATATATGAAACTACCAATATTTCTCATACAACCATTAGGACACTGACATTACAGTTTCATGTCATGTCAGTGCGTCCATTCATATGGCGGGATATTAACCAGGCCGTTTGGGGTAAGTGCCCTGCTTAAGGGCAAAACAGCAGAGCTGCTGTAACAAGCTACACTTTGGTTTCAAATTTGACTCATTAAAGTCTGTGCTGCCCACTGGCCTGTTAAATATGCTTATGTAAAATTCCAGATGTATTGCTGTTTAACATAATTGATTTCAGTAATTATTGTATGCAGTGCTTGAAATAACTTGAATTACCTGCCTTGGTTTCTGTAATATTCATAATAATAATAATTTATGATGTAGTTGAAATATTTTAACTACTTTTGGAAAAAGACATTGCCATGGGCAATTGACTTCCGATGAAACAAAAAAAAATATGCTAATTAGTGAAAAATATAAACCTTTGAAAAAATACCTTATTTGATGGTTGCTGATGATTTATTTTGTCGTCACCTTTAATGTCCCCCCGACCCAAGCGTCTTGCTGTCAGGCTAGGGGACCTCGTGTGTTTGCAGTGATCACGCATTTGTGACGGATCTCGCGGCGCTCTCTTGCAGATCCCAGCCGCAGGCCTTGTCGCCAGTATTTTCTCAGGACACTTGGGGAAACGGTGGATCAGGCCTGGGTCCCCGGAAAGGCCACCCATCCCTTTGAAGGCGGCAACCAGTTCGAACGTCTCCCAGTGCTGCGGAGGAGAGGAAGGCAAAAGGACGAAAACTATAAATACACTGTAATTACGGCCGTTACCGTCGCACTGCGATCTTACGCAGTTTATTCCTTTGAATTATTTTGTTTAATGTAAATATTGCATCATTCGACATTTTCGTTCTACTTTACATATAGTAAGTGAACTCCACATGAACTTCACGGTTTGTCTGATTGTAGGAATGCTTATCATTATCTCTCCTTAGATACCACGGCGGCTATTAGAGTCATGGAAAGACAGTGTGCTGGAGGCTGAAGCTCTACTTCCAGAGCCGCTGAAAAAGGTCCTTCCTGTTTCCTCTCCCATAAAGAGTAACTTAGTGAGAGAGGATGACATGCTGGAGGCGCCGTCCTGCTCGTCCCGTAATTTGTCCCCCTCGTCAGGTTTCCTGTCTGGCGGTAAACCCGAGGCCCCTCAAGTCAGCGAAAGCAGCGGAAAGAAACCAGTAGTCAGAAAGAGACAAGGCGTTTCGCCTAAGACACACATTCTAGAGAAAGAAGGGCTGGACTTTGAAACGTTATCAGGCACTACAAAGGACATAATCCTTGTTACTCCAGACCAGTTTAAAAACAGCACCAGAGACAACCGGCATCCTGATAGTGATTCATTAGCTGGGATCTTTTCTACCAAGTTTCCCGAACCACCACCCAGAGAGGATCAGAGTAAGCGCTCCCTGCCCACTAAAAAAGACGTAAGAAAGAAACCAGCACGAAAGTCCGTGTCGCTGGTTCATGTGGTGGGAGAGAGAAAAAGTTCTGAAGGTCCTGGAAGCAGCATGGAGTGTGATTCAGGGCATCGTCTAGCTGATAACTTAACTTTGGGCATCGCAGTTTCATCTATAGGAAAACCAGAGGGCACCAGTTTAATAGGAGGCCTGGACCTGTGCCACTTTTCAAAGACCCCTCTTGATAGACTTTCTGCCAGTAATCACCTCATAACAAGAGCTTTAGCGATGGAGGAGAAACTCAAAGAGAAGCCCCTCTCTAGGCAAAACTCTGAGCCTCTTTTCCCCAATTTTGATACAGAGGAGGATGTGTTTGTCAAAACAAAAACTCCACCCGATAAACTGGAAATAGCAGATAAGCGTGCAAAGAATAAACAAGCTCCTTTTGTTTCCAGTGATCACACCTCCCCAGCTACTGTCCTGAAGTTTGCTGAGTCTGAGAAAAATAACGCCTCAAATGGATCATCTGTGAAATCAGAAGACGACGGCTGCTCCGTCTCTGAATGCCCTGGTTCTACAGTAAATAAGAACAGCTCGTTATCAGACGTGTCCTCCTGCGGCTCCTCTTCACCATTACCACCCATGGATGCTTTCCATGATATCAACTTGATTTCATTCAAGTCCTTGGCAGATGAAGATGGGAGCAGTAGTAACCCTACTCCTTTTCGAGCAGACACCAATTACAAATTCAGTACCTTTCTGATGCTACTAAAAGACATGCATGATAGCAGAGAAAAGGATGGTTCTCCTTTGGTTCTTGGGCCAGGTGCTAACGGACCTACCTCTGCTCTCATTAAAGAAGAACCGTCTCTTATGTCTCCTCGGTCAGGAGAACGAGCGGCTCGTGGTACAAGGATTGAATTCTTTGAGCAGAACTGGACACCAGCAGTCAGGCAGAAGGAGACGGCACTGAGTTCCAAGAGCTCTCGAGTAAAGCCCAAAAGAGTTAGGCAAAGGCCGACCTCAAAAAAGAAAAGTATTAGAGAGACGGCAGAGAAGGACTTTTTATTTACAGAAGTTGAGCATATTTCAAGCCTGAATCAGCAATCTAAAAAGCAATCTTTGTCGCTGACAAAGCGAGTGAGTGGTGGCAATACTCATTTGGAGGATGCTTATGGGAAGGATCAGCCCATTGGCCCAACTGATGGGGCAGCAGATTCATCTGCTGAGTTTGCTGAACTTCTGACTGACAGTTGTGGAAGGAGCAACATCACTAGAGTGGCACCAAAAAAACGCTGGCAGAGGTTTGAAGAAGGTGGCACTGAGTTACTGAAGTCAGGGGAATATAACAGCAGTGTCAGTGAGCAGCCACTGACCATGGTGCCTTCAGAACATAGTAGGGCCTGCAGGGACAATATCGGTCACACTCCAGATATGTCAAGATCTTCCCATCCAAAGAAGGGAGTCAGTAAGCAAACTTACACTCAGATGTCTAAAAGCATTTCAGAGGTGAATGAAGTCTCTTCAGGTAAGTTATCCATCATTTTTCTCTCCATACAGTGATTGATGAGTATTGTGTTTCATCGTCCAGTATTTCATGAAATATTTTACATTTATTCAACAGCACATTCAGAAAATAAACGCCTCAGAAAACCGAGTAAAAGACTTCTGGAATGGACTGAGGAGTACGATCAGATTTTTTCAGTGAAGAAAAAAACTAAGAAAACCCAAGGACCTTCAGGAATGGTGGGTGTTTTACAGTGTGATGGTGTTTTCATGGTGATTTCACATGTCATTAGTTTACCTGGCATTGCTAAAAGGAGTAACATATTCCTGGTTTAGACCAAAAGTAAACTGTGAGTAAAGCACATATTCATAATCTGGTAATCAATAATTTACCTTGTGTCATTATCCAGCAGTGTCTGTCAGATCACTGCCATTTTATATGTTATAAAAACATGTCTGCTGCTGTTTGGTATAGTGATTTTGCTTCTTAAGACAACATTGTGGGCCATGTAATGACATTTATTAAAAGTAACAATGTCACTGGAATGTGTTCACTGGAATCACTGGAATTTACATCATTGTAAATGTTTCTTTTAATGGGATGTCTGAGCATGACTGTTTGCATGAACATCTTGAATTGCACAACCAAAACCTTAATCTACATCAGAAATTGATCACCCTCTGCTCAGGCATGTCCTGATTTTGCCATGTCCCTGGGTCAGTAAGGGAGGGGCTTGCGTTTCACTTCTTTAACCAATCACTGTCCTCATCGTATGACATCACCACATTGATTAAAACCAGGGTTTTCTGTTAAGCGGCAAGGTGCACAGATTTCTAAAGTTCCTGTTTTATTGTGTCTGCCTTTCGTTAAGGTACATGTCATAGATAAACAGGCAAAACATAGGAACGTGGTTACCTGCAAAGGCTGTACGGAGCAATGTAAGGGTGCGTCTTCATTACATGATGATAATATTAGCAGTAGTAGTAATGATAATAACAACAACAGTAATAGTAGTAGTAACAACAACACCAACATTACTACTACTAATAATAATAGTAAATACCAATAAATAACTGGCTTGAACCAGCACCCTTGCGATCACAGGCACAGAGGCTGAGTCTCATACTGCTCTTGTGCTGATGGATGGAAGCCTTGAGTTTGGAAACGAGAAAAAAAAACAGACTAATGCACTGATGTCATACGATGAAGACTGTGATTGGTTAAAGAAGTGAAATGCAAGCCCTTCTCTTATTGACCCAGGGACTCATCAAGCTCGGCAAAATCAGGATGTCTCTCTGGTCAGGTCTAAACAAAATGTGCTGTAAATTTAAATAATTTGCATAGAGTGTTCCAAGTATGTGCAAATGTGACAATTTGTGAACGTGGCCTGCAGTCTTGTTGTTGAGCAACACTTGGCCAATTTCTTTCAACTTTTGCCTTTCAGAATTATGACATGGAGAATGCCAGAGAAGAGCAACTGGAGACCAGGAGCATAATGCAGGACCTTCTGAGCTCATTGCCAGAGATGCAGACCCCACCTCCCGAGGAACCGTCCAAGGGCCTTGTTGGACAAACCCCGACTATTTTAGAGCACACCCCTCCCCAGGACGACCTCACTCTTCCCATTGACACATTAACCCCACCCCCAGAAGCACCCTCTCCTTCAGAAGAGGTGGCTGATGGGGAATTGGCAAAAACAAAGTCTTCTGGTAAACAAATCCTCTTGTCATTAAAGAGTCAGGAGACACACAATGTTTACCTTTATGAGCCATCGATTTAACTTGAGTGTAATGACATCCTATGGCCTTTAAGTGGCTGATTTGATAGATTTTGAACTTCCTTTCGTGGGTCTATTATGTGGCAGATATAAATTCCTACTTACCTATGAGTGCCTACTTAATAATTATCTAGATGAAGAGAACACTGATGTCTGAGGAAAACCGTTACCCCAACAAGCCTAATTCTCCACTCCTGTCTTGCTCAATGAATTTACTTATATAATTAGCAAGCAACCTGCCAAAAATTAGCCCCCACCTGAGGAGCACTGCTGCGTTTTCTTTTTCTTTCATATCAAAAAATTATTACAAAAAGCAAATATTTTGATTCAAAATGAAAAACCTAAAAATCTAAATGAAAGCTTGCAAAAATAAAAACCCAGTTTTGCTACCTGTCTTGTTTTATAGTAACTTTGAAGACTCCCTTTTATTCTTCATAATTCCAGTGTTGAAAATGGAAATTAATGAGCATGAGAAATCTTGCCATTTCTGCACGTGTGTTTGTCCATAAACAGCATAGACCAGGGGTCACCAACCTTTTTGAAACTGAGCTACTGAGCCATACGAAGGGCTACCAGTTTGAAACGCCCTCCTAAACTCATCTAAACTTCATGTATAATAAACATGTTTTAAATGCTTTTTTAGATATTGTCATTTTCAAATCTATATAAATGCAAATGTGATTAAAGAAGAATAGCAACAGGATAAAATTAAATTTTACACGCTGCTCACTGGTGAGTTGTGCTATTTTTAGAATCGGTCCACGGGCGACTCACGTGGTCCTTGGGGGCATCCTGGTGCCCCCGGGCACCATGTTGGTGACCCCTGGCATAGACATTTCCTTTTGTTAGAACAGGTTAGATCATAAAAAGTATTATAATCACTGTCAAATTCCAGTTTTATTTATATGGGATTTCCGTTTTGTTAGTATAATTTAATGTGAAAACTAAAAATAAACTTTCACATTAAAGTCACAGCTTTTTTTCACAGCTAAAAAGTGGATTAACCAGATAAACAAAAAATAAGCAAAATATAAATAATACTTTTGTGTTTATAGAATAATGTGGCTTAACCCCCCCCCCCCCAGTTTTGCTCTGAGGAGCCCAATAGGTTATAGTGTATTTATTTTGGAATTTGAATAGATTCTTTAGTCACACCAGATTTCTTCTGTGAAGTTTTCCGCTCATTTTGTTGTTGTTATGCCGGAATGTGAATTTGTAACTTAAAGCAAGTGTCCTAGTAGAGACAAAAAATATCTGACCTTTTTCCAGCATCAGTACCAGAAGATTCAAAATAAGTGCCATATTTTGAGAAGTTTGTTGCAGATTTTCTGGATTAGAACATTGCAGTGTTGAACATGTCCATAGAACGCGGACATTTTTTTAACCATCTGACATATAATGGGCCAATGAAAGGTGTAGGGAAGACATCCACACTGATGCTTTGTTTGACACGATGTTAATGTTGAAAGAACTGAAGTTTTTGAGCCATTCTACCCCTGCGATGCAGTCGTGGAAGACAGTTGTTTTGAACTTTTAGCTGTGGATTTGTGGTTGTTTTATGGCTAATTTCTCTGACATCTTAGCAAAAGCTCGCCTATTGTCTGCGTTTCTTTGAGATCTTTCTTCAGCATGATGGTATCATGGCGGCACTTGCCAAATGTTTTAATTGCTATTGCGTTCAGATCCCATCACAACCAACAGAAGGGACTATTCTGTTTCGGTCACATATTAGTGTTGATGAATATGAGGCCATTTACTTATATGCTATTTGAGAGATTTTTAACTTAATTACAGGTCAAATACAGACTGTAATTATTTGTAACAGAGAATAATTGGAGAATCAGTGCATTTTTGATCCATGTTCCCTTTTGCTTTTTTCAAGGTAAACTCATAACTCAGAAGAAAAAAAAAACAAAATGCAGGAAACTTGAAAGTTCAAGGAAGTTGTTTGAAACATTTACTGATTCGCTTTTTTCTTCTCCAGAATGTCAAGACAAAAAGCGACAGAGGAAACCTACCAAGAAGATCCTTGAGTGCTCAATTGAAGCAGAGCCTGTTGTGGTTCCAAAAAAGAAGGTATTTTCAGCAGAGACATTCTTTAGAATCCTCCATTTTCCATTGCACATGTTTCATACCTCATTTCATGTGCATTTTTGTTGTCGTTTTGTGTTTGCTTAATGAAATGGGATCTGAACGCACCAGTAGCTCAGTAAGAATGCTGGGACGCAGGGCAGCAGACTGGTGTGGGGATTATATCTCGCGCCGAGGTCTTCCAGCCATTGTATGTCCGATGCATGTCGTTAAAAGAGAGAATTTTTTCCCCCTTCCCGTTTTATTTTCTCCTTCCCCTCTTCTGGAGGTTCAGGAGTGTAGGGAACAAGGTAAATGGGCAGAGGAGAAGTCGGGAATCCAGGAGAAAGAGGAGTTACTTACAGAGGTGAGGGCAGCCACGAGGCGTACAGGCAGAGGGGTCCCAACGAGCTCATCAACACGCCCCTCCCAGAGCATTCCCTTTGTTCTCTGTTTGTGTACTTTTCTTATGTGTGTCATCGCACATCACTGTCTAACATGCGAGTGCGGCCACCTTTAGTAAATACGAATGTTTATTGCAGATTAAGTTTGCAAAGAAGGACGTTTCTGGATCGATTCCATGCCATGTTGGCTTTTCAGGTGAGCACACACCTTGTCTGTGATTTGCAGCATAATGCACGTGCATCTTTAGCATGTGCTGTAATGGTAACTCTCATAATGCACGTGCATCTTTAGCATGTGCTGTAATGGTAACTCTCATAATGCACGTGCATCTTTAGCATGTGCTGTGATGGTAACTCTCATAATGCACGTGCATCTTTAGCATGTGCTGTAATGGTAACTCTCATCATGCACGTGCATCTTTAGCATGTGCTGTAATGGTAACTCTCATAATGCACGTGCATCTTTAGCATGTGCTGTAATGGTAACTCTCATGGTCACTTGTTCCTATTAGTCTAGGAGCTATTGTTATATTTTTTTATTATCCGCTTCCTGATGTCTTTTGCCAAAGCAATTAAAATTTCATTAATTTAGATTGATTTTGTTTAATATTTTTTGTTGTTGGTTATTATATTACATTATTGAATAAGAATTTGAAGATCAGTGGTCATTGCTGACACACCACAACAAAATGTGTCCTCTGCATTTAACCCATATGTGACATCGTGACATATCAGGGGGCAGCTAATTCAGCGCCCGGGGAGCAGTGCTTGGGGGCGGTACCTTGCTGAGGGTACCTCAGTGGTGCCTTGCTGGTCGGGGATTCAAACCAGCAATCTTTCAATTACACTTCCCTGACCATTAAGCCACCACTGCCCACTAATGAGTCGATGAGGATGGGATTCGAACCCGAGAGTGCAGAGCACAATGGATTAGCAGTCCATCACCTTAACCACTCGGCCACCTCGTCAGGCCGCAAAGATTTAAACAAAACTGAGGGGATGACAGGTAGCCACATGCTCAACTCATTGAGCTATGCAGCCATTGTACATTATATTGTACATTTTGCATTTTCACCAGTTTTTCAAATTGGAGAATTTGAGACTAATCTTCTTTTGCTCAAGTGTACAACATCTGACATTCTTCAGGAACCTCAAGCGACAACCGTAATGTTTTCAGCCACCAAGCCATCCGCTGCCCCTGTGTATGATCAACTTGATTTTCTGATTTTCAGACTCTCATAAACAGAAGAAGAAGCGCCCAAAGGCACAGTCCCCCCCCCCATTTAAGGAGGCCTCGGACCACAGCAGTCTAGAGGCGGAGAGTGACTGGGATCTAACTGTGGTTGCAGAAGAAGGACCACATGAAAACACAGAGGGCAGTGTGGACCCAGAGGTCAGTTACAGCTGCACACAGAGGTCAAGAGTTCATTGGCTGTGTCCAAATTCAGGAGCTGCATTTCCCTGATGTTTTATTCAAAAAGTCTGGTTGCGTCGTGCCGATGTGACGAGGCTGTCCCATATCGAAGAGGGGCTCTAGGAATGCGTCCCCCTTTAGCCGAGTTGTGAATTATCGATCCATTTGATATATCTCAAGATGCATCACGTGGACTTTCGAAAGACGCAGCTTACAAAAGCTACGTAGACTACGTCCTTCGAAGGATGCAAACCCTGAATTCGGACACAGTTCTTGTGCATGAAGAATCGATTTGTATCACGGCTAGGAAGAATAAAGAACGCAGCAGTACTGTTTCATTTGGTCTCTTAGCTGAGCCTTTACTGAGTAATACTATTTTAAGTAGTACAATATTGTTTTGTAACTGGATAGTTTACCTGTCTAGTTCAGCTGAAGAACTTGTTAAAGGTTGTTAAAGAACATTGCCGTGAATGTTAGCAGGAATTGTTGAGTATCCAGGAATCAGGAGCCACTGTTGGATCACAAAGACTCCCTGTGTTTAGGGCTTTTCGTCTAGTAATGATGACAGCCAGTTATCATCCAAGGACAACCTGCTGGGCCAATCAGGGCTCATTGGGGGCAAGAAATCCATGGCGGAGAAAGGGGGCGCCGCCTCCATGAAGGAGAACGTGTGTCAGGTGAGTGCCGTCGACGTGTCCGTCGCCCTCCGAGCCGGCCCATTGGCTGGTGATACTGACCTTTGGCCCCGCCCACTCACCCAGGTGTGTGAGAAAACGGGGGAGCTTCTGCTCTGCGAGGGCCAGTGCTGTGGGGCCTTTCACCTGGAGTGCATCGGCCTGTCGGAGATGCCCCAGGGCCGGTTCGTGTGTCAGGAGTGCACGTCAGGTAGGTGCCCCGTCGCCAGGTCGGCACACGGCACTGCAGCTACAGAGTTACAAAGCAGAGGAGACCATTCAGAGCATAATGCCTCTGTGCATGTGCAGTAACTCTCTGAATCTCATATAGGAGCTAATACTGCATGTGAAGCACAAGTCAAGTAGGTTTTTATAGTCTTACCATCTATATACATTCAATAGCATCCAGTGGCCCGACGTCCTCCCAGACCGCAGTGCAGTGTATATACATAAAGGGCAGACACTGTAAACTAGACAGGTGAGACACATGAAGGAGAGGAAAAAAGGAGAATATTCATTCATTCCGTAGTTTATGCAGGGATGCCTAGACCTCCCTCTCCCCAGCCACCTCCTCCAGCTCCTCCGGGGGATCCCAAGGCGTTCCCAGGCCAGCCCAGAGATATAATCTCTCCAGCATGTCCTGGGTCCGCCCTGGGACCTCCTCCCGGATGGACCTGTCCGAAACACCTCCCTAGGGAGCCGCCCAGGAGGCGTCCTAGATAGATGCCCAAACCACCTCGACTGGCTCCTTTCGATGCGGAGGAGCAGCGGCTCTGCTTTCAGCTCCTCCTGAATGTCCGAGCTCCTCGCCCCGTCTCTAAGGCTGAGCCCAGACACCCCGCGGAGGAAACCATTCCGCTGCTTGTATCCGCGATCTCACTCTTTCACTCGCTACCTAAAGCTCGTGACCATAGGTGAGGGTAGGAACGTAGTAAATCCATAGCTTTGCCTTCCTCAGCTTTGTCTTTACCACAACAGAATGGTGCAGCAAAAGAGAATAATAACTAATAAATATAAATAATAGAGATTATAGATTCATAGGGGAGTTACATAGGGATACCCACACAATGTACCTGATACGGAGGCGACTATAGAAGTAATAAATAGAACAGATGTAACAATATGGCTGATATGACAGGGATGTGGGGACCTGTAGAATGACATTAAAGACATATCCACCCATAGCTACAGTGACTGTATTAAGAGTGTAAAGCATGTTTGCTGAGCGCTGTGGCCTAGTGTTCTTCGTTTTATGGTTCTGGCCTTTTAAATTATAGAGGGAAAACTGCGGTTTTTGTGTGCTTTGTTCTGCCGCCTGAAATATCCCGAGGGCACTAATAAAATCAGTCTGTTCCACCCTCTCACCCCCCATGTCCTGACAGTCTTTTCTAGAAGAACACGGCTTTTCCTCATTGCACTGCCTAGATGTTTATTCCAGTGCTCCAAGTTATATCCTATAAAATTAAAAGCATGTCTATACACTTGTATTTAATCAGCGAATATGCTTTTAAGTCAATGGTTAAGTAGATGGTTTATTTAACTTTTGTTATTGTATTGACTGACATGGAAGTAAAGATTCAAGAAATAAGATCTTTATTACAAGTACAATGAGAGTGACAAAGGAGTGTCCATTTTGTGCCTGTGAGGAGTGAGGCCCCGTTTGTGTACGCTAGCTGTCACTGTGCTGCAGGTGTGCACACGTGCTTCGTGTGCAAGGAGCCGGGAACGGATGTCAGGCGCTGCATGATTCCAGTGTGCGGGAAGTTCTACCACGGCGAGTGCGTCGCCAAGCACGCCCCCACCCTGCCCCAGGGCCGGGGCTTCCGCTGTGCCCTCCACGCCTGTCTGTCCTGCTACATCACCAACCCCGCCAATCCGTCCAGCACCAAAGGCGAGTCAGCCTTGCAAAACTGCTACCATTTCATTTGTGTCACTAGCACCGGATTTATCCTGTCACTGCATACAGTATGTGTCATTAAGCCTGATAAACGCCCTTATGCCAGCTGCGCACTGATATCTGCCCCTCACCCACCTTCCGCAGGTCGCCTGACCCGCTGCGTACGCTGCCCAGTTGCCTACCACGCCAACGACTACTGCATGGCCGCCGGCAGCGTCGTTCTGGCCAACAACAGCTTCCTGTGTCCCAACCACTTCACTCCTCGCAAAGGCTGCCGCAATCACGAGCACGTCAACGTCAGCTGGTGCTTTGTCTGCTCCGAGGGTCAGCGCGCCTTCCTTCCGGATCCCGTTCCGCCTCTCCGTCCGTCTAGGCCCCAAGCTGGTTCAAGTCTGTTGATTGATCCTGGTCATACCTTCTCTGTTCCTGCAGGGGGCAGCCTCCTGTGCTGCGAATCATGTCCTGCGGCTTTTCATCGCGAGTGTCTGAATATCGACATGCCTGAAGGAAGCTGGTACTGCAACGACTGCCGGGCTGGAAAGAAACCCCATTACAAGGAGATCGTGTGGGTCAAAGTGGGCCGATACAGGTCAGAGCAACTAATGTATACCTAATGTAACGTTGCTGTGTACAAAAAGCAGTGAGTCATTTTACTGAGATATACGGTAATTTGCTAAATTTTATTTATTGGTGGGTGGTTTTATCATAGATTTTGTTTTACGATAAAACTTAATTTTACGATAATTTCCCCAAAATTCAATGGCCATATTAGAGTAATATCACGTAAGGATAAGTCATACTGGGTTTTGTCAGTGACTGACCACATGGTTCATTTGCTCACTGCAGCATCTGCACATATGGCCGCCTTACTTGGTTAATCCTTGCTGTGTTCCGTCTCTGCGCAGGTGGTGGCCTGCAGAGGTCAGCCACCCAAAAAGTATCCCTGATAACATCCTCCGCATGAGGCACGACGTGGGGGAGTTTCCAGTGCACTTCTTCGGCTCCAAAGATTACCTGTGGACCTACCAGGCTCGGGTTTTTCCCTACATGGAAGGCGACGCCAACAACAAGGAGCAGATGGGGAAGGGCGCCGACGCCGTCTACAAGAAAGGTAGACGCGATCTTCGGGCAGGAAGACCCAGCTAGGGCATGTAACGGAAGATTAGTTCGGCTCTTTGCCGGGGGAGTCTGGGCTCTGGCGTGACGGTGATTATGTGCCTCCAGCACTGCATGAAGCTGCAGAAAGATTCCGGGAACTGCAAGCTGAGAAGGAGATCAGGCAGCTTCAGGAGGACAGGAAGAACGACAAAAAACCTCCTTCTTACAGGCACATTAAGGTATCAGATGATCATTTGAAGGTCAGAAGAAAGATGGGGAAACAAATATAAAATTAGCCTGCTTCATGCAAGGTTGTTGTATTGGCTGAATGTCTGGTTTATTCTTCCCGCTTCTTTGCTTCTCATTCTTCATGCTCATCATTCTCTGCTCATGCAGGTGAACCGGCCAATAGGTAAAGTGCAGATCTTCACCGCCGACCTATCAGAGATCCCCCGCTGCAACTGCAAGGCGACTGATGAAAACCCTTGCGGCATGGACTCCGAGTGCATCAACCGCATGCTGATGTACGAGTGCCACCCGCAGGTGTGCCCGGCCGGCGAGCACTGCCAGAACCAGTGCTTCACCAAGCGCCAATACACCCAGGTGGAGATCTTCCGCACGCTGGCACGCGGCTGGGGTCTGCGCAGCATCACCAATATCAAGAAGGTGTGTGAAGCCAAGACTTGACTGCAGGCTGACTGAACAAGATATTCACCCAAACATACTGCAAGGCAATGAAACAGAAATGTTTAATTTTCCACAATTAAAAAGCAAAGTTTGCTTCAGAAATACAGCAAATCTAATTAAATTACGAATTAGTTGATCACTAGAAGCTTATTTAATTAATGTAAATAATGAAATTTAAGCATACATGCGGTAGACTTCATCCAAGAATTAAAGACTTAATGACCGAACTGTTTCAATTTTTGTGACCGTTTGCTGCACTTTTTAGGGAGCGTTTGTGAATGAGTATGTTGGTGAGGTGATTGATGAAGAGGAGTGCCGCACTCGGATCAAGCACGCTCAGGAGAACGACATCTGCAACTTCTACATGCTGACTTTAGATAAGGTGACATCTACTTGGCTGGCTTTAAGAGAAGTGAAGAACATTGACTGTATTTTGGTTCTGACAGGGATTGTTGATGGACATTGATGTTGTTACGTAGCTGTGAGTTTTATCCGCACTGTTTTATTCATTTCGCCTTAACTTCCAAGGAAGTTCTTGCACCATACATTCAGAAAGAACCCTGACTTAATAGGTTGCCTAATCTATTAAGAATGGTGGGGAAAATATACATTTGAAGCCTTAATTTATTTGATCTTGTGTTTTATTTCCTCTTAATTATTACTTTCAGTATAGAATGTGTGTGTCTTGTGTCTGCAGGATCGCATCATTGACGCTGGACCTAAGGGCAATGAGGCGCGTTTCATGAACCACAGCTGCCAGCCCAACTGTGAGACGCAGAAGTGGACCGTCAGCGGTGACACGCGAGTTGGACTCTTCGCACTGGTGGACATCCCTGCTGGTGGGCCGTTCTCTTAGTCTGACCCATAATCCTCTGCTCTTTCTGATGTATGATGACCTGCACGAGGGGCAATGTGGCAGGAGACTGCTGTTTTCTGGGTAGAGCTTTCGAGAGATAAGGTAAATCTTTGTGACTTTTGTTAGGTGTGGAACTCACATTCAATTACAATCTGGAATGTCTGGGCAATGGAAAGACAGTCTGCAAATGTGGGGCATCCAACTGCAGCGGTTTCTTGGGCGAGAGACCAAAGGTAATGAATCGGCAAGCGCTGGTGGCCTGAGGGATGTTCCTTGGCGTACTTTGAAAAACAGAGCAATAGCAGTGACCTTCTACCTTCTGAATTGACTTTTATCTGTACTTTAATAGGCAGTGGTTATTCCTAGCTGTATGGAATGATACCACAGTGTTTCAGTTTGCAGAGAAAGCACATTGTATTGTTTGAGGTGCTTAAGTTGATTTTTTTTTGCCGTAGAACCAGCCCTCGGCAGAGGATAAGGCCCGAAAACTGAAGAAAAAGGCTGCAGTAAAGCGAAAGAGCCAACTGGAGGTGACCAAGGAGCGAGAGGATGAGTGTTTCACTTGTGGTGATGGAGGGCAGGTTGTATCCTGCAAGAAACCTGGTTGCCCTAAAGTCTACCACGCCGACTGCCTCAAGCTGGCAAAGAGACCAGCGGGTTCGTGTCTCTCAGCTTTTGTCGCGACGGGGTCTTATATCTTATATCATTATCGCACAAAGTGTTTTGTGTATAATCGTAACAGGTAGATACTTTATTGATCTCAAAGGAAATTTAGGAGGACGTATTTAGCCATTTCTCTCTTGCCTTTTACACAACCACTTTATATAATACAGTCCACGTTTTTGCTCCCTACCAGGCAATTCACATTTTTGCTCCCTTCCGGTAGCTGAGAGGGAGTAAAAGTGTGAATTATCTAGTATGGAGCTGTGTGGGTCCCTGAGGACTGGGTTGGGGAGCCCTGCTTACAGCATTTGATTAGACTTGCATGAACCTTTTATAGGACAAGTTTTCTAATTGTATTGGCTGCCACCCATATTTCTGCTTGTCAATCAGGTCTGTGTAGTCTGAATATGCTGCTGTTAGGGTTCTGTCTGAAACACATTTCATTGGGTGTTGTAGGGCGCTGGGAGTGTCCATGGCATCAGTGTGACGTGTGTCTGAAGGAAGCAGCCTCCTTCTGTGAAATGTGCTCCAGTTCCTTCTGCAAGCAGCACCGTGAGGGGAAGCTGTTCATCTCCAAGCTGGATGGTCGCCTCTCCTGTAGTGATCATGACCCATGTGGGCCTGACCCCCTGGAGCCTGGAGAGATCCGCGAATATGTTCTACCGCCCCTGAAAGCAGTAGGAGTGGCTCCTCCACCGCTTACTGCGGCCCCTTCGGTGGCTGCCGCTCAGCCTGCCCTCAAACCCGCCAATGGACGGCCTCCACCCGTGACCAGCTCCGCCCCCCTGCCTCTATACAGCGCCCCCAGCCACCCCTACGTGTCCGGTGCCCCTAACAGCATCCTGGGTTCTTCTGCTTCTCAATATAGGGACAACAAAGAAGTGGAAGAAGATGACGAAGACGACGAGGACGACGAGGATGATGACGATGTTGGCGAAGAAGAAGACCTTGAGGATGATGGAGAGATTGAGGATGGAGAGGTGATTGGGCTGGATGAAGAAGATGCAGATGACTATGAAGAAGAGGATGGAGAGATTGTGGAGGATGAGGGGTTGGACCTGGAGATAGAGGATGGGCAGACAATGGATGATGAAGACCCTGAGTACTTGGATGAAGAGGAAGGAGAAGTGATTGAAAGTCAAAAGCCAAGGGCGTAGGGGGGGGGGCGGAGACTTTAGTGGAGCCAATGGAAAGGCCCTTCCTACATCCCTGGACTATAAAGAGGCTTTTCCAAGATGCAGGTCTAACATGGGGGAGTGACATGTGGGGAGAACTGAAGGAGGCTGACCAACCAGTGGAGACCCGGTACAGAGTTAAACCTTTGCTTTCTGCATGCATGCAACACCTTCAGACGGTCCCTGCAGAATGTCAAAGAGCTGCTAGTTCCCTCAGTTCTTCCCAGACCCCGACCTCCCAGCCGTCTTTAACGTCTCCTTAGGGGAGTGGAACTGGTGCTATGGAGTTTTGTCTGTGTAGTCTCAACTTTTCTCATTCATACATTTTTAATATCTGGTGCTGTTTTATTGTGAGATTGGACTTTTGTATGCTCATCTTTGTTTACTTTGTTTACATTTAATCTGAAACTCTTCTGGGGGGGGGGAACTCAAACACACAAACATTTAAGGCCAAAATCAGCACTGCAGCTACTTAATGAGAGCTGGAAGGTTGCTTTTATAAGCAAATGCCAAGATAAATGCACCATGAGCTAAGAATATCCAGAAGAGTTCTGCAACTTCTAGTATTTATGAATTCCCTTGTTAAGTAATCTTACATGCTTTAGGCTTGGTCTTAGCAAATGATTTCTTACCCAATTGCAAGTTATTTTGTTTTTAAAAATAACTTTTTTATACAAAACGTATTACTTGTCAGATTTTAACTATTAATAATAATGTCCAGACTTTAATTGATCTACTCAATTTGGTTCACTAAGAACTGCGTTCATACTTACAAGCATACAAATATATTCATTCATGTGGGGATTTTAGCAGACAAATGAGAGTGCTCTTTTAACAGATGAACAAAGGTGACATATCGAATGTTACGCCTGACCTCATTTCTTACTTACCGGAAACGTGACTCTACACCATTGGAATTACACCCCAAGCAGTTATTTTAGTTCCTTAAACTGTAAGCAGATCAACTGAACAAGCAAATGGTGAATAAACACAAATTAATTGCAGTGTGTTGAAATAGACGTAACCCTCTTTGATATGCCACAATTGATCAACCCACCGCAAAGCTCAATGCCAAAGACCATCTAATAACAGACACCATGGTAGAGCTGTGGTAGAGCTATCATGAATGACATTTTATTAATTTCCTAGATTGCCTCCCGGAGTTGAGCTACGTGCGTGCATCGGTAACTACGTCCTCTCAGTGGATTATTTGGCTTGGGAGCTGCCCATCTAAGGTTCTCATCTGAAGTCTCAATCCCTGCAGTTTCATTGCAGAACAAGTACTAGCCGTACAGGGTCATAGAACATGAATATGTGCATTTCACCAGCTGCACTTTATTAATCTGGTTTGATTGTTTTAGTGGCATAACACACATCCCTTTAAACTGAACACTGGAAAGGCCATATTATTACCAGTTCTGGCAAGAGTGAATATATTCCCTGTCAGATAATAATTAGCATCTCATCTGCCGGTGAATTAAACCACATTCAGTTGTTCATTTGGCGAAAGTTAGAGGAATGACCTTAAATGGGATCTAGAAATACCAGTCATGTCGAATGTAATCCACTTTATCCCAGTTACAGAAATCTCCCTCTCTTCTCTGAACTCTCCAGCAGTGTATGTACATTCGCACATACCACTGAATTCATGTTTTAAATCGTTTATTCAGAACACCTGAGGATTTTAGGTTTATTTATTTTCTTTTATTGCCATGGATTTGAATGACGTATCCGGAAGGTTGTATGCTGTTCTATCACTGTATTCTTACATTTTCAACGATCAATCGGAACGTGATCGCGCAGTGAAGACGCAACTGCAAGCCAAACCGCAGCCTCTGCTGTTTAAGGAATGAAGTTCACTCAGTTCAAGTCAGTGAGTCCATGGATGCTGCTGTAGACGTAGACCACAGCGAGGCTGCGTTTGTCAGTGTGTTGCCCTGAGCTGTTGCAGACACTGCGCCGTTGTCTCTACTCCCAGCCTGGCCTGTACTTTGTATTTCCCTTTGTTCTGAAGTTAGACCCATCATTACTGAGCAGCCTGGGAGAATGTCCCCAAGTCAGTCATGAAGTCAGTTAGCTTCGTAATCATGGAATTGTGTGTGCACTTTTGTGTGTGAAAGTGAAAGTTTAATCCACAGCTCTGCGATTAAACTAATTTGTTACAAGTACATACTGTATGTATATAATGATACTATCTTCAATTATAATGCACAGTAAAATAATATGGATTTTCATCCATCGTCTAACATTGATGTTCTTTCATGTTACCCTCTACAGTTCAACAAATGGACTTAGTTAACCAGGCTGTCTGTTCACTGGGTGGTTAGAGGGGTGTTTGAGTAATTGGTTGCTCAGACTGGGTCCATATTGCTCACCAACCAAATGCTAATTCTTGCACAGAGTGGAGTAGGTACACACCAATTCCCACACCGTACAGTTCTGTGCTAGAGAAGGCTGTAAGAATCCCCATTTATTAATGAACTGATGATATTAACTTTAAGAATTTCACTTCTACCTCTCCCCACCACACTTTTACCTTATCTCTATGTGACTTGGAAATAATAATTAAACAATATGTGGTCTGTTCAGCATGGAAAGACTGAATGTAGTTGTTTTATGAAGAAAACCAGGATTGTCTCCCAGTATATTTGTCACACATATATCACCTAAAGGACAGGTGTGATGCCGTCTCTCAGCATATGGCATTGCCATGTGACAGAGGCAACATTACGTAGTAACATATTTAAAATTTGAATGCAAATCATGATTTTTTTTAATATATAATTAAGTTATGTATTTTTAAGAAACTTTTTCGCTCCTGCAATATACTGGCATCTTTGCTTCCCAGTCAAGGCCTTGGGTTGCCAGGACCATTATTGGATAGGCAGTTAGAGAAAGTGGATGGACTAAAATGTTGTGATTCTAATGGTTAAATTATAACACGCACACACACACACACAACACTGCCTTTGTGGAGTGACCGAAGTTCTTATTTTGAGTGTGATCCATAAAGATGTAATATATTGCATATACGTTGCATTATGATAATTTTACATTTGGGGCCATCAATAAAAATATGTATATTTTGATGTTTGCCATTTACACATTTGAAATGATGAATAATTTCTAGGTAATATAGAGAAGAGGTAACTGAATTTCCCCCTGATTTGCTCTCTTATGGTATTAGCATTTATTTTGTTGGCATGTATCTTTGCTTCAACAGGACTCATGAACATGGCTCAGTGACGGATATCGCAATCCTGAGGGAAGTGGTAATATTACAGAGTAACAATGCTTTAAATACTACAATTATTTTTCTACTTGCATATATTTACACCACTACCCATCTGATTGTATCTATTAACTAGATATATGTTAAAACTAATTGTGGCGAAGCATAACTGGGAGTTAAGTGCATAGTGATGCTAAGTATTAAAAAGACAACGCGGCTCTCTTTGGTCACCTAACAGCCCTGGTTTATCTGTAGCATGTAAAATATTTATTGACGACTTGTATGTTCAATGGGTTACAGAGGAAGTTACATAACTCAGTTGGGTCATTATGTTTTCGGCCGTGAAAAAAAGGAGCAAAACGATATTTACCACTGACAGCAAGTGGGTAATATGCTGATGTTGATGATTCACGTCTCAAAGGTCCTGCTGGACCCCAGATTTAGATGGTTCAGCAAATTAGTATTAGTATCCTGAGTATGTTTACCTCACATATTACATTAAATTGCCCTCCATTACACTGATTGCTGTTATAATTAACTCATTGTATGGGTTGCCTGAAATTATTTGCGGACATTTTCTTTTTAGTTTCATACTTAGTAGTGTGTCTGTTCTGTATATGTATTTGTCTATATTCCCATATAACCAGTTCATTGGCCTCTCACCTTTCCTTGTTCCGATGTCTTTGACTGATCTATAGCTGTTTTTGTTTGCTTTGGCTAGTTTTTTCCCTCCACTGTAATTTTTGAAAATGTGTTCATGCCCTTTGTCCTCGGAACCCCAACATGTTTCTCTGCTCCTCGGTCCGGAGAGGCAGAGAAACTATTCTTACGAACTAGAAACACTGCTGCCTTCAGAGGGTCGCCGAACTGTACTGTAGTCCTTTGTATATAATAAAGATCACTGTATGGAACAAGCTACCTGTTCAGTCACAAGTTCCTTTTTTACCACACAATGTGTTTGACAGGTGGAAGTAAAGGTTTCGATATCAAATTTACTTTTAACCTTGTTATGTCGGTTATTATTTTAACTGTATTTCATATTGTTATTGCTTGGCTGCCTAACCAAACATTTTTAACTGTGACCATACAGATTTACTGTTTCACATGGGTGATGATACGCTGAATTGTTACTCTTCTTAGTCACCCTGCTACTTGCTATCAGCTACACATATGTAGTCAATTAGTCACCATATTGCGTCACACTGGGAAAAATTCCATATGTGAATTGTGGTGTTTCAAAATAATAATAATAAAAGAAACCTTTAAATTAATCCATTTTATTCAGTATTGAATTAGGTATTCACCACCCAACCTTAGAACAGTTCTTGCCATTGTGTGCTTCACAGAGTGAAATTAAATATTTAACATTGTCAAGTTGTAAAATATAATATTATGCAGAGCAATATGGTAACAATGGTGAACATGGTGAAACACCCTGAGGGTTTGTGCAGCGATGCTGTAGTTTTCATCCCCAGAGAAAATCAGCTGCCTGCTGTAATTAATCTTAGCTTTTCAGTCTTAGCATTTTAATAGGCATACAAATAAAACACGAATACAGTTTGATACCAATATTCCAGTACTAATACATTGTTTTAATACATGTCCAATGACTACTTGATGTGCTCTGGAAAATTAAAGAAACTATATCAAGGTTTATTGAGAACAATGACATCTAGGTCACTTCTATCAAATGGCAACTGTGAAGCCTATTCAACTGCAACCTTAAAGGGCGGCAATGCATTTGAGATAATTGATGTCATGGAAATGGAGGTAATTTAGCATTCTTTCTTAGGTTGGTAGTAGTTCAAAGAGAGATGGAGAACTACCATCTTAGTCTATTCTCACCTGATTCAGACATTTTTTTTCTATTTAGACCATAAATATAAGATTGACACATTTATCAGCAATGCTACAATGAAACTCCAATCCAGTTTTTTCAGCTCACGTGTAACCCTGTGTGTAAACACTCAGCTTATCTTAAATAACTATCACATATGTTAGAAAGTTGTAAACATTGCCATGAGACATTCAGGAAACTTCAAAAGTAGTTCTTCTGCGCCCAACACAACACATGTATCCATGCACTTTCAGTCCAAGCAAATCACTTTAATTTACTTCCTTCAAGAAGACTAAAGACATAAAATAGCATAAACAGGTGATCATAACCCCGATGCCTGTAAGATGGCCTCTGTCGTAGGAAGGCGAGCCTGTGGAGGAACCTCACTGGGATGATTCTTCACAGCTGGAGACCATGAGGACTTGGACACGAAGAGGCTCGTCAGTAGCTTAGCTCCGATTCCCCACGTCAGACCCACACGATGCCCACAACATCTCAGCGGCTGAACCTACCTGCCTGCCAATTTCACTCTTACCTTCACTAATGAACTTAAACTCCTTCACTAAGGGCACACTCTCCCTCAGCACCCGGAAAGAACAATCCGCCCATTTCTGAGAGAGCGCCATGGAATCGGAGACATGGACTCTCATCCCCATCGCTTCAAACTCAACTGCTGAAGTGAACGCTGAAGGATGTGTTCAGAAGAGGAAAGAAGAACAGCAAATAGCAGGGGTATGACCTCTAACCCCTCCTACTGGACCCCGTCCAGCCACAACTATGCCTCGGTATCCATCCATCCATCCATCCATCCATCTATCCAGTTTCTGTAACTGTTTGTCCTATTCAGGGTGGCGGGGGTCCGGAGCCTATGGGCACAAGGCAGGGAAAAACCCAGGATGGGGCTCCAACCCGTCGCAGGGCACAGCAGAGAGAGAACAACATGGGGAGAACATGCAAATTCCACTGCCAGCCCACTTCTGCATCCTGCCCAAGAAAACAGCATACAGGAGTGGAGATGAGAGGCACGTTTATAAAAACAACAATCAAACTACAAACCAGTTCTTGAAAAAATTCCAGATATTTGAAAAAGCAGTTTTAACCATGAAGCATTCAGCTTCAACATTCAGAAACAGACGGTGAATAAAAAACAAAAGAAAAATCGAGCAAAAAAAATGGCATAAGAATCAGATCGAAGAGAAGATAATATAAGCAGTAATCTCACTAAGATGAAGACTTGTAACCAGGTTTCAGGTCAAGAGTCTCTCAGCAGCGTCAGTGTTTGGTTGCTGTGTAGCTTCTGTTCAATTGGCCTCTGAGCACCAAGCACCCAAACCTCTTTTTCTTCCCAGAATCCTACGTTAGATGATCATTTCCAATTGCGTAATGCCCATCGTCAATTGTGGCAGCAAGAGTAAAAATAGGAGTTGTTTGTCTGTCCCAGATCCACTCCTTTTTCCTCTGAAAAGAAGCAGAGTATATAATTAGGGCATTTACGCCACTGAAAAAGAAACTAAAAGCAAGAGTTGACTTTCATTCACAGAAGAGTCTTTTCCTGCTATTGACAGGAAACATTTGATATGCAGTAAGTTTCACATCAATGAACAATTAAAAAGAGCCCAATTAAAAAGCATATGAAACCGTAGAAAGCCCCCAACAGAAGAAGAAATGAAGGCGGACTCACCTGTCATGAGCTGGAAGGTGGTGCTGTTATAGATGTCTTCTGCTACTTTCTGAAAGAGTTCATCTGTAAGAAAGGGGTCAAGGAGCAGGTCTGACACGGTCCGCGTCCTTACAAAAAGCTGTTACTCATTACAGGGGCCCTAAAATGTATCATGTTACAGCACAAACTAAAATAAAACCATTATTAAAACCTTTATTTAGCACAATGACAGGAAGCGTGCATCGGAAAGGTAATATTTTACTCGCCGACATTTTTCCCGGTTTTACTGGATGTCTCAAACAGCTCAGCCTTAATTTCTGCAGAGAGGAAGAGAAATCAGACAGGGTATGTATACTGGGATCCCTGGGAAAACTGGTTTTCTGCAGCATGACATTAAGTACATTCAACGATGAAGCAACAGTCACAAAAATAAAAAAATACTAAATACAATATGAAATATATACCTAGCACAGCATTTTTTTTTTCTAATTCACTATTAAACAAATACAGAACTAGCTTGGTGTGCAATCACTCAGGGCAGGAGGCAGATGGCATGTTGGTGAATGGAAGGGTAGAGATCCTTAGTGCATCATGGTGGTGTCACTTGCTTGCAATGGTGCCACCACCATCAGTGTATCTAGAAACATCCCTACGAGTGGTTCAGCCTTTTTAGTGGGTGTATTTGACGGATTCATCCTTTTTTTTTTTTTTTTAAACTACCCAAGGATTTTAGGACATTTATCATTTTTTACTAGAAGTTCTATTATTTTTTTACATTTAATTAGTTTCTTTAAAGTTACAATATGCAGTAATTTTCGCAGTAATGTTCGAAGTAATGCTCGGGGTAATGTTTACAGTAATGTTCGCAGTAATGCTCGGAGTAATGTTTACAGTAATGTTCGCAGTAATGTTTACAGTAATGCTCGCAGTAATGTTCGCAGTAATGTTTACAGTAATGTTCGCAGTAATGCTCGGAGTAATGTTTACAGTAATGTTCACAGTAATGTTTACAGTAATGTTCACAGTAATGCTTGCTGTAATGCTCCTTAAAGGCAGTAGTGAAATTGCGGTGTTTTGTTCATACCTTCGGCATAATCCTGTACATCATGGTAGTCCATTTGTCGCATGGTGCGGTCTGTTTCAATGAGGTCACTTTTTGTTCCGCACAGGTAGATCTTGCAGTGCTTAAATCAAGAGAACAAAAATAATATTTATTTTTAAACATTATACAACCATTTATCTTTTGACAATATCATCGGATGGAACGCTATGCTTCACGTTCGTGGTATTCATCAAAGCATGGATCATCTGAGACCAGTCAGATAGCACAGAAAGCCATATAAAGATGCTTCACAGAAAACAAACTTACTTCTTCACACTTTTGCAGCTCCTCTACCCAAAACTTCACACGTAAAAAACTGCTTCTGTCAGTCAAATCTGGAAGAGAGATTTATAGATTACAGTGCATTCAAAGATAAACAGTGAGGTATTTACAATATTGCCAAGCTAAGTAGGCCTACAATGTAGTTACACTGAAGCCAGAAACCTTTCTGCCAGTGTTCTCAATTCTTGGAGCTATAAAGCCTAACTAAGTACAACACGATTACTGTGCAAATAACCAAACCCGCTGAAATAAAAGACCATTTTATTGGTGAACATCTTAGTTTATACATGAAGGCTTTAAGTGCTTCAGACTGACAAATGGCCTAGATAAACTACATCCAATCAAAACTATCAGGGATGTGAAGGCCCAATCTTTACTAGCAGGTCAGTAACTGGGGATTTGAACTAAGAAATTTAATTATCAAAGTATTCTGTATTAAATTAATATTTATCGATACTTTTGACCAATGGACCTTGAAAGATTCAGCATGAGTAAATGTATGGCTGAAATCTGATGAGAAAATTTTTTGAACGGGTCCAATATTTACCGTAACATACAATAGCACCTTTAGCTCCCCGGTAGTAAATTCTACTCATGGCTTCGTAACGTTCTGATCCAGCTGTGTCCTGGGGTAAGCATAAGAAGAAGGGGTAAGCACAAGTCGATTACAGCAAGACCACTGAAACACTCAGCCTCACAAAAAAAACAGAGGTGGTATATAGCCATCATGTATTTTCAGTGGTATATAGCAGTCATGTATTTTCAGTGGTATATAACCGTCATGTATTTTCAGTGGTATATAACCGTCATGTATTTTCAGTGGTATATAACCGTCATGTATTTTCAGTGGTATATAGCCATCATGTATTTTCAGTGGTATATAACCGTCATGTATTTTCAGTGGTATAAAGCCATCATGTATTTTCAGTGGTATATAGCCATCATGTATTTTCAGTGGTATATAACCGTCATGTATTTTCAGTGGTATATAACCGTCATGTATTTTCAGACACCAGTGACATCCAAAGGTTTCCTTCACTAAAACTCCAAGGCAGAATTTGTTGAATACACAGTAGGTTCCTACCAATTAATAAAATTTACTGACTGATATGATTGCCGATTTACCATATTCAAACTTTACCTTCAAATAAGGAAATACATTCTCACAAAAAAAATTAAGTGCAGTCTATTCTATTTAACAAAACAGAATAAAAGAGTGATTCATCCCCATAGAGAAACTCTCTCTTCATCCAATCAGGTTCTCCATGAGACACTGGTACATGGCGACGGCATGTTTAGGGGTCACAGCGCAAGGTTGTATCTGTGGAACCTTAATATTGGCTGATATTTTGGCCAATGTATGTATTGGTTGAGCCAATTTTTTTTTTTTTTTTTAGTGAAACCAGCTTGCAAAAAAAAACAGGTCTTACCCAGATTCCAAGAGTCAATACTTTATCTCCCATCTGAATCTGTCTGGCAACAAATGCTGCTCCAATAGTCTGTTGGCAAATATATACATTTTTCATACCATGTTCTCATGAAGTGACCCTAGATATACTGATTACTTCACACTCCGCATGCTGAACCACATGGACAAGTAACAACAGTTTTAAAAAAAGTGTTAAACAGTAAAAAAAAAAAAGAAAACTTCACTTAGAATGTTATACATGCCTACTATATGGTCATAAAAAGTTCACACAACTTTCACTGAGTTTCAAACCATCTGCAGGCTTCTCTAAACAACACTCCAAATTCCCCATGAGGCTGTTCCTCTGCATCAAGCAGATGAAGGAAACAGGAAACTTTGGCCCTGCACCTTCTCAAACAACCCTGTGACAACATATGTGATGAAAACAGCTGTGTTCGTGGGTAACACCTCAGCATCTCAGCGAGAACTCATCTCACTTACTAGGTAGCTGCTCTGGTCTGGAGGTTATCATATCATGAATACACAATACATTTGCTGAGAACATAGTGCGGCATATCTATACGGTTTATGCAATATTCCGAACTATCTGCTCCTTGGACCAAGGTACTCTACTGTATAATATTAGTTTTTCAGGAACAGATTAGTTTCCTATGAGGTTATGGTGGTAAGTGGTGAGCAGTGGTGGCTTAATGGTTAGGGAAGCGTACTTGTAATTGAAAGATTGCTGGTTCGAATCCCTGACCAGCAAAGCACCACTGAGGTACCCTGAGCAAGGTACCGCCCCCAAGCACTGCTCCCCGGGCGCTGAATTAGCTGCCCCCTGCTATGTCACGATGTCACATATGGGTTAAATGCAGAGGACACATTTCGTTATTGTGTGCTGTGGTGTGTCAACACTGATCACTAAATTCTAATTTTAGATTCTAGTAAGTTAAAACATTTGTTTCTTTCTATGATCGGTTCTTCTTTGACCAATGCAATCAAATCTGTCTCAATCACTTCTAATTTAATACATCCACTTTTATCATAGAATGTTAATTCTTCCCCTTCAGGGATGCTTCTTGCCTGTTTTGTAGAAGTCACCATCTGTTCTGTAATGATTTCTATATTTTTTAAAATACACTTCATTATTTAACACCATGAAACACTTTGAACTTAGACTAAGCACAAAAATAACGTCCATCCATCCATTTCCAAAAGTAAATTACATTTTACATCAGTACAGCATAGATAGACATGTAATACCAAGGACAAATAAATCGTACTCACATTTTGATACGGGCCAAAGAAGAATCGGTTGTGTGCAAACCTTTCCACTAGACTTGTTTTCCCAACATACTCCTTACCTAGCATGACCACCTTGGCATCCACTCGCTGAGCACTCATCGTGAGAAGAGCCAGTAAATCGAAGCAATAAAATGAGTCTGCCAAGGAAATAGGCAGAATAATATTTATATATACATATAATATATATAAAATCATACATCAGAAACTGCACATACATAAGCTGTACCAGTTTGGGGTACAGCAGTGATATATTTTAGTGTTGTTGGTTTTCTTTAATAAATTTAACTTTGTAAAGAGGTTATACTTATTAAAAAAAAACAGCTAAAGCTCTCATGAAGCCTCCAAATATATATATATATATATATATATATATATATATATATATATATATATATATATATATATACATACACACACACACACACACTATTTCTTTTGTTTATAAGGCAATTTAATGTAGCAAATAAAAAATACAAAAAACGTGGGTATGGATACATTACATAGTTTCAATATTTGCATATTTCATGGTACATATAACTAGCACGTCTCCGTTTGTTACATTCATTGTCAAGTAATTCTGGGGCATATTTAACATCTTAACAATACACTTGGTTATGAACGTTATTGTGAACCATCATGTTATCCACGTCTGACACACCCAAGTAAACAACTTCATTTAAAGCTACATCTTCCGAGCTCCGCAGCTAGCGGGTTACTAACCCCACATCATTCTATTTGATCATAAAAAATAAACCCTATCGTACACTACAAACATAATACATAAATATTACCAAACAAAAGGGGTTACTCACAGCTAATGAAAATCACACGGGAGCAGCACTGAGGCAGACTGTGCTGTTTGCAGTAATGTCATTGTAAGTCATGCGTACATACTATAGCGCTGTGTCCGCGCTTATTTTCTGACCGATCCTCCTTATTGGAAAGTGTGCGTTGCATAGCCGCATGCTGACTCCATTAAAACCAGCTAACCGGCTACCCTGCTGTCCGCATGAAGAAGGGGGGAAGCGCCACGTCCTGCCGCTCGGGACCGACGGCGCTTCATTCGGACGCCGCACGGTACCAGAGAAACAGTCCAACACAGCCAACGTGTTCGGGTCTAAATGATGGCGCCACCCAATGTCTATGCGAAAGAGCGACACTGGTAGCAATTCTGTATAATACCAGACAGATGTAATACTGTAGAACAATATGCATTTATAAAGTAAACACAAGCCAACCAAATGCCTTCAAAATATTTTTAAACGTAGGGCATTGTCATAAAGCTTCCTTCCATCTTCTATACCCGCTTATCCCTAACATACAGTGTTTCACGTGTAGAAAGTTAAATATATGAGGTGTAATTTCCACGTTTGTAATTTAACGTTAAATGTAAATGGTTTGTACAGAAAGAGTATCGTGGATTCATTTGAAAACTTTATGTTCAGCCTGGAACAGGAATATTTATTCACAAACATGTCAACGTGGAGTATAACATAACTTATTTGGGATAACTGCTGTACTTTTGTTATACTTGTTATACAAATATTTGTAATATTCTGCATCAAAAAATCCAACTTGCTATTAGACGAATTTGATTACAGTTCCTGTGGGAAGTTCATTAACTCACTGAAACTGCACTTGCATACCTTTCTCTGCCCCTCGGGATATCGGTAAAATTGCTGATATTGCTGCTTGCTCACATTGGTTAAATGCAAACAGCAATATTGGCAATATCCCAACAACCATCACATCTTAAATCTTTCTTCAGCTGTTTCTAGAAAGTACAGATTTCGCACAGGTATTGCTGAGATGTTGGTATAAATTATTCTGTTTTGACTACTGAAATTTTAAATTCAAAAGACTGCCTGGCAAATCCACCAACAACAGCAATACTACTACCACTACTACTACTAATAATAATAATACGTTTACCAAAAACTTTTATGCATATCGATTTGCAGCCACAGTGTATTTGACGCAATGGCAGTACAGCTTACATATCTTAAACATCTGAATTTAAAGATTTTCAGTGACTTTCCCACGTTTTCAAATATACAGTTGAACCTGGAGCTATTAGAATTGTAGGTTCGTTTCCACGTTAGAAACGCCTACAGTACTTTTACCATTTCACAGCATGAAAACAGTATATTCAAGATTGTGCTTAAAAGCTAGACTGTAGCAGGTCTGCTGCTTGGGGTGTGCCCTTTGTGGGTCAGGTTGCTTTTTTCCCCACCTACAACCCTTGTTTGTAAACCACACGACGCTGACCACGAGCCTTCACATAAGTTGTCACTTCCGGGATAGTGGGCATGCGCACTTTTGGTTTCTGATTTCCCGTCGCTCCTGCTTATTTCCACCGGAAGTAAAGTTAAAGAGCCAGTAAACGAACACTGTAACTGCAGGTAAATGGCATTTTGGCCTTGCAATTGATGTGTTATTTTACGAGTATCCCTTTTGTTCAGTAAAGATGTGTGAAGTGTAACCATTCTACACGGTTAGTCGTGTGACTAGAAGTTTAGACTAAATATGTCTTATTTACCAACGTTACTCGCTTGCTAGCCTCGGCTGTTTGGACGGGCTGCTACCAGGTGCGCTGTGACAGTTCTGCTAGTTGTATCCGGAGCATCACTAGTAGTAGCTAATACTCATTACTGTTAAATATACTGGTTCGTTGTTTTGCCTTTGATCTCATATTTAGATATTTAGTCGACAATATAGCCGTCTGTCCTAAGATGTTTGTTGTTTTCCTTCTCCTTTCGTTAATCGTGTGTATCTAAAGCAGTTCATCTGTTTAATAGTCTGTTGTTTGGCAGGCAACTGTCATGCCTTTGCCTAAATGTAACTGGATAGTTTAGTTAGTGAAATGTGAATATACTATGCCTTGGTCGTAGAAATAAATAATGCCGAAGTGTCTGGCTAAAATGGCTTAAGATCTGGGATAACTTTGACTGAAAAGAACGTGAAATGCATATGGCCATTGCTTTGTGCTAACATTTGATGAAATATATTCAAGAAGTATATATTCTTAAGTAAGCCAAACGGTTTATAAAATATGATACACGTATGTTAACCGTCACCACTTGCTTGTATTATCTAAAAATAAGATTTTACTCAAAAGTGTTATTATTTAAGTTTCAATTCAGGTTAATTTAATTCAGTTTATTTAAAAAGTTTGCTTTAAGTATTCCCAATCAGAATAAAATGACAAAGTATAGTTGTCATGTCTAGTTGTCTGTCTCCACAAATTTACAGCCACAGTCATTGAACCTTCACTTTTTCCCATATTTTGCTAATGCTGTTGTGGTCTTATTGCTGCGTTAGTTATATTGAAATAATCATACAGATGTGTTCTGATTTTCAGTCATCCCTGCTGATCGCCTGGGATTTCTTGGTGAACTTTTCTTGCCAAGCAAACTAGCATACTGTAGGAAAAAAGTGTAAAGGGTAGTTGTTCTGGAAAAAGGAGAAAAAATCCAGTTCTGTTGTGTGTGTGTGTGTGTGCGCGTGTGTGAGGTTATTAACTGGTGTTACACACTAGTGTCACATTGTCATTAAGCGTGATTTACTGAGTAACGCTTTGTTACTTCTCGAGGTAACTAGCACATTACCAGCCTAACTAGTCCTTCCTTCCTGGTGGGTGGCAGAGGTGGGGTCTGTGCTTCCCAACAATGGAGCAGTGTGCCTGTGTGGAGCGCGAGTTGGAGAAGGTGCTCCACCGGTTTGTCATGTATGGCCACATGTCAGAGGAGCGTCTGGATGAGCTGCTGCGCTATGTCTGTGAGCTGCGAGGCCAGCTGGTCGCATTCGGTAAGGCATGTGCAAGTAGCAACTCTTTGGAATCGGCAGCCTTTATGTGCTATGTGTTGTTTCCTGCCTTTTCTTTAGCATTTTTAGTGTGTTGCAGTTTAAAAAATATTTAAAACTAGATCTGTTGAAGTACAATCTTATATAGGCCAAATGACTTCTTTATAACTGTTGTCATATCCTTATGTAAATAATGCAGTTATAAATTTACAAGTTTGTTCATGACTGTTTTTTTGTGTGGGACCTTGATATGTAAAACTGCCATGGGGGTGTGCTTATCATATCAGCTTATCAGAGCCTCCCATTATTTTTTTATTTGTTCAATTTAATTTAATGGGGGGGGGGTATCACTATACAGTAGTGATGGACAAAATGAACAGAGGGCACTAACTAGTGGGAAACTAGTGGATTTTGTCCATCACTACTATACAGTGATGCATCACAGCCGTAAGGTTATCTGTGTACAGCTGGTGTTGGGTGGCAGCGTTCATGTTCAGTTCCGCCATGCAGGGGTCCAGGATGCCGACTTGTCAGTCTTCTCCCAGTCAATGGCCCAGTGCTGCAGAAACGTCAAAGACACAGTGCAAATGCTTGCCTCACGGCACAAGGACATTCATGGCAGCGTGTCCAAAGTGGGAAAGGCCATCGACAGGGTAGGCACTGCCAGAACACCCCGGCTCCTCACCATGCTCAGAGCTGCGTCCAGTTGTTGAGACCTTTTGGAAATATGTGCATAGGGCTGGGCGATATGACTGAAAACTGTATCACGATATGAGTGTTTCATATCGGTCGATATCGATAATTATTGACATTTTTTATGACCCATTTAAAATAAAGACCAGGAGAAAAATATATTACATTTAAACATTTTTATTTTAAACATGTCAACAACCATGGAAAATAAAGTGTTTTTAAAATATGTGCAGTGTTTTGTAAACATAAATAAAACTGACGTAGACTGAGATACATCTGTAATATAAAAAAACAAACCTGATACAGTACAGTAACATTGTTTGAAATATAAAACCTGCAGAAATATGAAAAAGTAACTCTTCAAGTTATTCTTACTCTAATCATACTTGAAGTTGAACTATTCAAGTATATTTTCAGTCCAGGTTTTGTGCTAGGAAAAGACACACATGCAAACACTAACGAGGAAGACGCGATACGTAGGGAGCCGGAACCCGGAAGTGCGCCGTAAACACAGAGAGGAAAGAGAGAGAGAAGGGGAAACAAAGACACGGCAGACTCGAAACGAAACACGGGATACGCGAAAAACCGGACAACATGACACATACAAACCGAAAGGATACAGACCTATAACTTAATATTCAGGAGACGGGGGGCGAGCGGCGTTAGGGAAGGGCGAGGCGACCATCACAGTGATTCACAAAAAACCGGCAGAACTTCCATAAAGCAGTTGTTTTGCTGTGCTACGACCATTTATGACAGCTGCGTTTCCGGCACGGATCCAAACTAGCTTCGCAACCTCTGTTTTCTTCCGACGAAGAATAAAAAATATCGAACGTTTTATCGAACACATTTTTTATTGATATCGATCACGTGTCTATCGCGATACATATCGTAATCGTTTTATCGCCCAGCCCTATATGTGCATGTGTATATTCTATTTCCTTTCAGAATTTCGATGCAGAGGTCAGTGCGGTTGTGGCTGAGACAGTGTGGGACTCCCCAGAGAGGCAGAAGTATTTAAGTGAAACCATTGTGGAGCATCTGTATCGACAAGGAATGCTGAGTGTGGCGGAGGACCTCTGTCAGGTAAGCTGTCTTTTTTTTTTTTTTTTTAAATCACCGAATGTCTTGGATGTCTAGTGAATGTGTTTCAGACCCTTTGCACAGAAAATTTGCTTTCTTACAAATTTTCACCCTCTGACGTCACCAGGGGACATTTCTGGTCTTCTTTATCTTGGAATTCTGTAATGAGCTCAGAGAAATGTGGATATACTCGTGATGGTCAAAATGCGCCACATGAACCATTTGCTATATATTTTGGTCCCACTAGATGGTGCTCTCTTACAAAAAAGGGCGCAAAACCCAATTATCATCCATCCATCCATTTTCTAACTGCTTATCCCAGTCTGGATTACCTGAAGCCAGGGGTGGATTAATGCACAGGCTATCCTAGGCTTTAGTGTTGGCGTCTGGGAAACTGTAACGGTTATACTTATTAAATCTGGCTCACACATTGATCCACAAACTTTGGCTGTGAGACATTGCCATCCACTGTGTCACCCTTACTTGATGATGAATATTTATTTTTAATTTAATGAAATATACAGAAGTTCTGTTGTGTTGCATGCTAAGAAGATGTCAGATTATTAAAGATTTTTTTTCTTCAATTGTACTGTGTAGCGTTACATGAAAATTGTAATTTGCCTGACAGGAATCAGGGGTTGTGATTGACATGAGCCTGAAGCAGCCATTCCTGGAGCTGAATCGCATTCTAGAGGCTTTGAGAATGCAGGACCTCAGACCGGCATTGGAGTACGTTCATTTTCCTGCTCTGTCGCTGGCTGGCCGGTGAAGTTCGAGCATTCATGCGTCTGCGTGCTTTGCAGGTGGGCCGTGGCAAACCGTCAGCGGCTCCTGGATCTGAACAGCACGCTGGAGTTCAAGCTGCACCGCCTGTACTTCATTAGCCTGCTGAATGGGGGCATGGCCAACCAGCAGGAGGTGCTGCAGTACGCGCGCCATTTCCAGCCCTTCGCCTCGCAGCACCAGAGGGGTGAGCTGTGCACTATGAGTAAACCAGGAGTTCTCAGACCTTTTGGTCAAAGGTCTGCATCAAACTCAGAGGTCCGGAACGTTTTTCAATAACAAAACAGCATTTCATGAACTTTAATGAATTAACAATAGCCTTTGGTATAGACATCAATATATAACAAAAATAGGAAGCCTTTTTCACATTAAACAGATTGATTCATAGTGTACACAATCATCTGGGTCCAGATTTTCTTGTACTTCGGTCCACGGTCCAGACTTTGAGAACCCCAGGTATAAACTGGATGGGTGACTCATTCTATGGCAGTGCCTTACCTTGTAACAGTCACTTGTATTGTTATAACAGTGCAGTTTTGTAGTCATGAACAAGGACCTCTGCTATGGTCTGGTATGTGGATGGGATCTGCTGCAGACTAAGCCTCTGTGACCGTGATCCGAAGGTCGCCAGTTCGGACCCGGCCTCGGCAGAATAGTCACACGTCCGTGGGCCCTTGAGCAAGGCCCCTAACCCCCAGCTCCATGGGCGCCGCTGCAGGTGGCTGCCCTTCACTGCCAGGCTTACTCTCACCTACATATGTGTCTGTGTGTCATGGAGAGCAAGATGGAGAAGCTGAAGAGAATGTCCCCACAAGGGATCAACAAAGTGCCATTATTACTATTATTATTATTATTATTATTATTATTATTCTTGTGTTTGTGGCTCAGATATCCAGATCCTGATGGGTAGCCTGGTGTACCTTCGACATGGTATTGAAAACTCTCCGTACCGCAGCCTATTGGAGACCAACCAGTGGGCTGAGATCTGCAACATCTTCACCAGGGATGCTTGTGCCCTGCTGGGCCTGTCGGTGGAGTCGCCACTCAGCGTCAGGTCAGAGCGCCCTCAGCCGCGGAGCCAGTCATGTGCTCCACTGCTTCACTGGTGATGGATTTTGGTTGGGACACTGCAAAAGTGTTGTTCGTTTAGCTTCCGTTAAGTTAATGTGCAGTGATTTTATTACATGTGTAATATGCTGTTTTATATGTTACATTCTGCATGTGAATCCTATTGTTAGAAATAGTTAAACCGACTCCATGGTATTTAGGCAGATGTGTATGTTTCTGCTCCTTACTGTAATACAGGACTACATTTCCCATGATCCCGTCAAGTGGCAATATCCCGCAGTTGTCTTGCATAAGTCATGTTTCTGTTTCTGTTGTATTTATAGCTTTGCATCTGGTTGCATGGCCTTGCCGGTCCTCATGAACATTAAGCAGGTCATTGAGCAGAGGCAATGCAGTGGCGTTTGGACACACAAAGACGAGCTGCCGGTAATGTGTTCTTGTTTATGGGTGACTTGATTTTGGGATTTTCTGAAGTAATTTAATGCATGTGGGGAGAGAAATGCTTTTTGTTGTATGGATAGCATGACGGATGTCTGTTTTAAGGATGTTGTGCGATAGCTTGCTAGTTTTGGTAATGCTACTTGCAGCTGAGATCTATGGAATAGTATTAGTACTTTTTGGCCTCTCGGAGTTACCTCTTAGTTTCCCATCCGGTAATGATGCCATTCTCTTTTTTTTTTCCTTATGAAGATTGAGATCGACTTGGGGAAGAAGTGTTGGTATCACTCAGTATTCGCCTGTCCCATTCTGAGGCAGCAGACCTCGGAGAGTAACCCTCCGATGAAACTCATCTGCGGCCATGTCATCTCTCGAGATGCCTTGAATAAGCTTACCAATGCTGGGAAGTAAGACTTCGCTTTATTTTCTCTCTCTCCCTCTCTCTCCCTCTCTCTCCCTCTCTGCTTCTGATGGTTCCACATCGGGCCATTTTAAATGTTGTGATGTGAACAGTGTCTCCTGTGTCTTACTGAGGAACGGTGATCCTGTGCCCGGCTGTATAATAACATGGAATGACATATGATTTGTAAAAAATCTCTCAGTACGCTATCATGTCTCTCTCTGCAGGCTCAAATGTCCGTACTGTCCAATGGAACAGAACCCTTCGGATGCCAAGCAGATATTTTTTTGACGTTGCTGGGGAGGAAGTGGCAAAGCTCGGAAGACCTGGGCAAACACCCAGGATCCACTTGCATGGGTCTGAGGATCTTCTGCGGTGGTCAAAGGCTAAGCCTTTACAGTATCTCCTTCCCTCCATAGGGTGTTCCTTCACAGAGACCTTTGGTGATAGCAAATTACAAGTAGACAGTCAGTAGGTGTAAATATCAGAGGCTATTCAGACTCTCACTTACTATTTTATTTCCTGTTGCCGTTTCCTTGGTTTGACAATTAATAGAACGATTTTTAATGGGTGGCGCATCTGGGAAATGGCTGCTTGTGACTTGGAAAAGCCTTTCAAGCCTGGCAAATATTCTATACGTGAATGTTCTATACATTTATCAGTAGCGAAAGTGGCTGCAACCACAATATATTCACAAATTATTTATACTGATAGGTAATGATTCAGAGCAGTTGATGATGTAGTAAAATAGATGTATAAATTAAAGTGTGTGTGTGTGTGTGTGTGTGTACACTGTACGTGTACATGTGATGAATGCTTACACGTGTATCATGGACTTCAGTATGTTGGCCTGAGTGCTTGGAAATGTATCAGTGTGGTTTATATATGAGGGTTATCTGTTTTTTTTTTTGTTTGTTTTTCCTTTTTTGGTCTCTCTTCTAAGGAATGCTGGTTTTCGGGGTTCATGAAGTATCTTAATCATTTGAGGTTTAGGACCTTTGGGGGCTGTGTTACTTGTGTGTGACTTACAGTATTTCTTATGGGAAGTGTACTGCTGTTTAAACGTGCTGTGTTTTGATTTTCTGTTAGCAGAGATTTGTTAGGAAAAACTGTACTAATGCGATCCAGTTCTTTAGAGTTTCCTCTTTTAAAAATGGGTTTGTGTCATTTGGTGTCATTTTCTCCTGCCGCGTGTGCAGTCAGAGTGCTTGCTTTCCTGCTTTGCCCTTTAAACAGCACTGGCGGTCTTGTGCGTGTCACTGTTCGCGGTTTGCCACCCTCTGCAGCAGCATATAAGTGAGAAAGGGGATATCAGCATGATACTGTGTTTAATTCGCCAGTGCTTTCACAACTTGGACTTTTGTTGATTTACTTGTTTAAGTTCCTTTTCTCACCATAGCACATTGATAGTTAATCTGTGTATATTTTTTATTTTAAAAATTTTATTTTCTCAGGGTGTTATCTTACACTTCACTCTCTGATACATGCAGTGTGTGGATAAATGAACTAAGCTCAAAATAGTAAGGCTGTAACATATAAAATGTATCTCTGTAGTATGCATGTAAAATAACGATAAGCAAGAGTAGCTGGAAGGGTGAGTACATACGTTTAGTCTGCATAACGGCAGCAGTAAAAAAAAAAAAAAACAACTTGTCGGGAAATATTTAAGATTATTGCGCGTAAGAATGGTCGTGCTCATTTTGTAATGTCTCAAATGTAATCCTGAGGCAGGCTAAGGCTGCTTAAACACAGCTGCAGAATATATCGTTATTATAACCTCAATTTACTGTAGCAGTCACATAAAGCCACCTTACCTGAAACATACATTGATGGGGCATTTTTGTATTCATTGGTATTGTTTTGTTTTTCTTTTACTTCCATGTCTGGGTACTTGACTGGGTCTTGTTTCTTCTTTGAGTACTTTGAGTACTTTGAGTACAGCTTCTTGTCCCCACATTATGAGCACAAAATGAAAGCATTAGAGCACTGACCCATGGCAGATTGTATGAAAGTCACTGCGTTTTTTGTGTTACATTTAATGCAATTTTTATTGTAAATACTTATCCTTTAATAGTAAAATTCATTTCATATGTGCTTACACCATAAAATAAATCTTTTTACTTAAAGCTGTTTTTTAAATTGAAATCATACAGTTTTGACTTCCTTTGCATGAAATTCATAATGATGAACCAGCAAACATTTAACTATATACATTTTATACAGTAAGCCGATATAAGCATTTTAGTAGACCCTGATTCTCCCAGGTCATAAATCCTGACAATTAATGCCACTAGAGGGCAATGACGTCTTTTATATTGAGACTAGTACACATGTGCAGTGACTGAAAATTCATTTCTTTTGTCCATGTGGAGATTCATAAAAGTACTTTAACCCAGTATTTGTTTAGCTTGTGTTGATAATTATGGAACTGTAATCATTAGAGAAAGTGTAATTTTTGTAAAGTGCTCTTAAGGAAATTGCTCCAAGTTGCTTTAAAAATACATTTATAAATAAATTCTGGGAAGTCCTTGATATTATGTTGATGTAACTGTCTCAATGCATATTTTATGCAACTTTATTTTGAGTTAGTATGGAGACTCAGGAAGCTAGGCTCAGCTAGATGTTAAGGTAAGCAGAGTAATCTTGAAATATGGCAGGGACTAAAAGTATTGCAAGCCATGATGTAATGTACAGGAAATGGAACTGCAACCTAAATGAACCATCCAATATAAACCTAGACAAATCATCTTGGCTGCCAAAATACCATCAGGTATAATCAGGTTCACAAGCCACCTAATGTTATTCCCACCAAAGTGTAAAGTTTACCTCTATGTTAGGAATATCAGCTGTTGATACATTTCAAAATGACGAATATGATACTATTATTAGTGTTTTTGTAACTTTTTTTTTTTTCCTATGGGACAACGGACTCTGCAGGACTTGGAAAATTGTCATTGAAGCCTTTTAACTTGTACTCAACCTTTTTATGTTTTACACCATGATGCGAGTCTCTCTCTCTCTCCCTGAGTACATGGTAGCGTGACTGCGCCTTTCCAAGGTAAAGGACCAGGCCCCCCGTTTTTCATGGGCGCACTAGTTCACCGCTTCACTTCAAATACTGAACAGGACACTCCCTCCTTTCTGCCCTACCTTTGACAGTTTCCATGGAAACACCTGTTCCCTAAGCAAATACAGGCCCTTCTGTGTTTTCAAAAGCTCAGCTTAGAAGACCTCTGACCCCAGTGTCTAAACAAGTTGGTGAAGTATGCGAGAGAGCAATCTGAAGAGGAGCATAGCAGGAGTCTAAGATAAGCATCCAAGAGAGAAGTCACCCCCCCCCCCCCCCCCCCCCCCCACCACCCCCACAGGACTGAGATGAACCCACTGCAGCAAAGGACCTGACTCACACCTCCCTCCACCACCTCCACAGAGGCCCTGAAAGACACGCGAACAGAGAATATTTCAGCACTCAAAATCAGTGCCAGTTTACCCTAATCTATGGTGTAAGGTGAAGAAACTTGTCTGTTAGACATGCTGAGAGCTGTGAAGTTTTGAGGACAGGTAAGGTAATATAATCCCTGAAAAAAACAACCTCTGATCTTTCCATTGTGGCCACCCCTCTCATTTTGTGAGATGGGGTTTGAAAACGGTCACCTGTACCTTCAGAACACTCATACAACAAGATGTTTTAAATATTCCAGAGTTCTTGGAGATGTCTGGTGATTTCTCATTTGTAACTTTTTATATATTGTTAATACCACCAACACAAAGTTTTATTTTGCTTCAGCATCTCGATAAAAACACATCACATCCGAAGTAGGTTAGCGGATTGAGTTCTGGACTTAAATATTGCAGACTAGTAAATAAAGGAGGATACTGTTGTACCCTTAAGAAATGTTTGAACGGGAATGGTGAAACATCCTGGTATTAAAGAACACAATGTTGAGGGTAAGCAAATCCTTTTGAGAGAAATGCCTAGTAAGTAATTACATAAAATGAGTGCTGTGGACCAACTTCTGTGTAACCCAGAGAAGAGCAATGCTTGTAAATTGTCCCTGATACTCCTGACAGTTTTCTGGAAAGCAGTGCAGGAGTCCTTACAGGGTTGGAGTTCAAAAGACTGCAAATTAAAGAAAGCCGACAAGTTTGAAAATGGATTTATTAATCTTACGTAAACTCACAATATTCTTGGCACTTTTGCATTTCTGTATTTTCCATATTTTAATTTATTATTAGTTATTTGTAGGTTTCTCTGGGGAGAAAAGGCATTCAAATAGCAATCCGCGTGAAACTGTGCACAGGCAGTCTGAGAATCTGGAGGTGACAGCCATGCTGAGAGGGAGTCTTTTGTGGGTCTGAAGGAGTACATCACGTAAAATATTTTAGCTTGGTTCTCTCAGTTCCTCTGCAGAACATGCCCTGCTGACGAAACTGCGAGGAGTCAAGGAATTCAGATCACAAAACGGACGCTTTAGTGATGCAAATGAGCACAGAAAAAGCTCCGGCCCTAATAATTTACAAGTTACAGTGGTGGCAGACTACAGCATCTATCACAAAGCATGGAGACATCAGAAAGATGGATGAATCTGAACAGAAAAGAAACATTGATTTATTAACAAATCAACACCATTGCCTGACCTGAACATATAAGAAAAGCAAAAAGGGATGTTTCACATGTTTTTCATTTCAGTAGTGGTCCACGGATCACAGTATACTCCATTCTCTCAAAAGGAAAATCTGAAAGAGGTTTAAAAAAAAAAAAAACAGGAATATGTTGTTCTGAATGTTCGTTGGGGACACACCCGAGATGCATCAGGTATTATCCAGGCGGTAACTCAGATTTCACACTGTACTCTCTCGCTGACTGTCAGAGCAGGCCAGCATCGTGGATTGTGGGATTCGGCACAGCTTAAAATGCACAGTGCATGTACTGTGCGCACGCATGTGGCTTGGCAGTGACAGACACAGCTGCAGAGTGCACTTGCCGTATCGGGGTTGCCTGCGAAGGCCACGGCAGCTGCTCCAGCCTGTTTTAAGCTACGTTCGGCGAATTGTTTGAATGCTTTTGGGCTGCCGCTCCATCTGACCTTGGAAGTTTCTGTCGCCTCAAATGGTCACGCTTTTTAAACTCGGGCAAACTTGCAATTGCGACGGGCTGGTGATCAAGGATATTACGTGTTTCCAGGATTTATCTGAGAGCAGGTCACAGAAGGTAGAGCAGGTTGCGTGCTTTCACTTGCTTAATTGTTACTGAGCACACGTTCCTTCATTTTCCCCCCCTAACTTAATAGGACGAAGACCACTGAAGCGGAACCATGCTCATTTTGGGGAAGAACATAAACCGTCCTGAACTTCACACAACGTGCGTCTGCTTCTCTTCATTGTCTTTTCGTGGTCACAGCGGCAAAATATTTTTAAACAGTGAACTGAGAGCAATTTGGAAGAAGATATTATCTTATAATCACTTTTAAAAAAAAGGTTAGTACACAGCAGGAAAAAAATAATACAGGTAGAGACGTATACATGTTCTTACTTGTCTAATAGGCATATTTCATAAATAAGTGTCCATCCTCTTACAGAACCGATGAAACAATTGCTTATAGTTTCCAAAAATGCTGGGGGGAAAATTTCTATTGTGTGACACTAAAATGGAACCAGTGCATCAAATAGCAACAAGCTTAACGAGAAATAAAAGGCTATTTCTGAACATACAAAAAAAAATGATTGTTTGCATTTTGGCTCTTTGGGAAACAGAAATCTGAGGTAAATAGTTCACTCGTGTACTTCAGTTCTCCCTTCCAACAGGAAAACATTTCATTATGCTGATGGTGACCTGCACATGCTTTGAGTGAAATTCAAATTAAAGCAATGTAATAATCAAGTAGTTAAAGCAATAATATTGCCGTATAAAGGTTATTTTAACAATTCAAATTTAAAGTTAAATAATGATCAGATTGGTTACTCTACTGTTGGTTTGTCTAATTCACACTGTGAGTCACAGTCAGATTTCAGAAGACTCAATCTTCTCTATCCAGGGCAGCCTAGGAGGCTGCTCTTCCTCGTTTCCAGCCCCTCTCTCCCTTTTACCCCCTCCTCTCAGCTCTCGCAGCTCCATCTCCAGAGCCTGGTTCTTCTGGTACATCTCTAGGTAGCTGGCCTGCAGCTCCTTCTGGTAGCGAATCACTTTGTCCTTCTCCGTTTGCCAGATGCGCCGCTCAGCCTCGAAGACATCGGCCTGTGCCTCACTCTGCCGCCTCTCCAGCAGTAGCTCTGCCCGTAGTTGCTCCTCCACACTGCTAGGAGGTGCTCCGTGGGCCTCTGGCCTCCCGTCCTCTAGGGCCTCGGTGGCAGTGGACTGCCAATCCCGGCGAGCCCCCTGCAGGGCCAGCCGCAGTGTGTCGATGTGGCTGTCTTTGGCGTTCATCTCGGTACGTGTCTCACGCAGCTGTGTCTTCAGGTGGAAGATCTCGCTCAGCTTCTGCGTAACTTCTGCCTGCGAATCGCGAAGTTGCTGCTTCAGCAGAGAGATCTCCCCGGATTTCTGGCACACCTGGGTTGACAGACAGGGATTTACAGCACATTCAGGTATCAGGTATTTCTTATGTTCTTATTGGAATAGTCTTCCTGCTAGCGAAGCGGAAGCTAAAACCCTGGGTTCCTTTAAATCAGAGCTAGATAAGATTTTAACAACTCTGAGTTATTAGTGAAGTTCTCCCCAAACGAGCTTGATGGGCCGAATGGCCTCCTCTCGTTTGTAAATTTCTTATGTTCTTATGTTATAGGGGCATAAATACTACATTTCAGGGAAGAGGAAATTGTGACCTCGTCCTACTACAGTTCTGCTAATCTCCGAGAGTAGTGCTCAGGGAGATTCTCCCATCTCGTATTGATCCTCTGTCCTCCTCTGAGCTACTCCCCTTGGCCAGGCTCACCTCCCACTGCGTCTCCTCCAGCTGAGGGTTGTGGTCCTGGGGGCAGGAGGCTGCACCCCCTCCTTTGAGGGTCTGGCACTCGGTCTGCAGGGCTTCCAGATCCTCCTGTATCCGCCGCCGTTCCTGCTGGGCCTTCTGCAGCTGGAGCTGCAGGGAGCGCTGAGAGCGCTGAGCATTCTGGGAGGTCTGACGCAAGCGCACCGCGTACAGGCGCTTCAGCTCCTCCACCTCCTTCTCCCACAGACGCTGCTTGCCTTCAAACACCTGGATGGAAGCGTTAGAGCACAATTCAGCCTGACTGTGAGCCGGGACACACACCCACCCACACACACACACAGACACACACCCACCCACACACACA